GTTTTATCAGCACTTTGCCATTAGTTGCCTGTATGAAGAGTTTGCGAGCAGTTCCCACAACCTCTTGCCTGCGAGACAGGGCACTACCGCTGCGCTTCCTTGCTTTATAACTCCGTTCAAAAAATCGTTTAGCAGATCGGGAAGACAGTTTTGAGCTCAGCGTCTCGAGGCGAGTGCAAGGGTATAAGCTCATTATAAATGGCCGGACCGCCTGATGACCTTCCCCAGTTATACTCGATATCCGAGAGTTGGGGTAGGCGTGTCACCGGAAGTGACGTGCACTTGATAGAAGCTATGTGGATAAGCTGCTTCCAACATACATCGCTGGATATCAGCAAAGCATGCTGGCAACAGCTTATCCACGCAACTTCTATCAAGTGCACGTCACTTCCGGTGACACGCCTACCCCAACTTTCGGATATCGACTGTAGTTTTACGAGGCTCGTACTCGTGAATTATAATATTTTACAGGACCGTTCGGGTAGCACAGCACAGACATTTAACATAGAAAAGTGGGACACGGATACAATTAAAGATTTCTTAAATGAGTGGATTGAATAGCAGTGTGACCAGTGTAATATCGTAATATTGTGACCAGTGTGATAATGTTTAGGAAGTCTTTACTTTAATCTTTCATTGTCCTTTTGGGAACTCATTGGCATTTCCAGGTGTCTTGCCTTGATTATTGTTGTTAATTACATCCTTGTCTGACAGTCTCGGTTCCCGTTCACCCCTTGTTTTGGTATTCCCTCAGCTTCATATATTATGGGTGTTATACTGTACTTGTTGAAGTTCTTGAATTTCTATTAAAGAGCTTATTCTGATGACCGATCATCCTCTGAATATAGCTTTTACAATTGTATTATAATAACAGGGCTTAAATTAAGGTATTCGAACATCTTGATCTGCTCAGTGGAGAAAATTGTGTTCTTCAAAGTTTTTCTCTAAATTGTGGTATTTTTCTCGATGTGTAGGTCCTGAACAACACCGAGTTATGGCAAGCTCGAGAATTTCGTCCCATTGTGATTTTTCGCAACAACATATGTTCCTGTACCCCATTTCACGGAGCGGCTATTTATTTAAGTATCTTTTTGATGAGTCTGATTCTTTAGGAATAAAGATTAATGATAGTACAATGCGTCTGAATCGGGTAGTCGTTTAATAGACGTTATTAAAGAAAGGAGATTGTAGGGCACCATCATGAGCGGAAGTGTGAAAAACAAATAAGTAGGTATGGTGAGGTGAAGGCGGTAACAGCGGGAGTGAGAGGGTAAGCGATTCTGAGCGATTGAGAAGCGCTTTGGGCGGTTAGAAAGGTACGACATGAACCGAGGATGGGTAGAAATGACGTTGAGGGCGAGTAAGATCCAGGATATAATGGAAGGCCTCGATGTGCCCGACAGGAGGCCCGTTGCGCGGCAAGAAGACAGAGTCAGCACACGAGTCGCACGTTCGATGTGCGACGTAGGACGCAAAATGGTACAATCTATTTAACTTGACTCGACGCGAAAATCGCATACATGTATACGACGCTACCACTCATACCGCTAACTCTGCCTTCCTGCCGTGCGACGAGCATCCTGTCGGGTACCCGAAGACCTCGTGCCTGTCGAAAACCAACCTAGATTGCGATTGTAACAGTGTTCCAAGGTATGCCTTTAGGGTTGCTTTTTACAAGTAACAGT